AAAAAAAAAGAAAGTGGAAATGAAATAATACTAACTTTGTAGATGTACCCTTAACAATTAAAATGCAAATCTATTCTTCATAAGTTTTGCTATACTGAAAGCTGTCTGAGGAAAATTGAGAGGCAGCCACAAGAAATGGAGAACAAGGTGCCTGTGGGATGAATTGTGCTTCAGGGACTTGTGGTCCAGCTGAAGTGAAACCTCAGCTTCAGTAAAGATTCAAGATGCATTTTAAACCAGTGTTGCTTTCTGTGAAGCTTTAGCAAAGACATAAAAAATATGCACGGCACTGTACAATATTACTTTAACCAAGTATGGCATTGGATTTGTGGCAAATATTTTCGTTTGGTGTGGACACATTTACCTAAAGCTCATTTCACTCAAAAATGTATGTTATTATGTGGCAACGAAGAGAACTCTCGGTCTGGATATCGACCAACTGCACAGAAATATTGAATACTTCAATATTGGCAGCCTTCCACTCAAGCTAGCCAATTTGTTCCCAGACAGCCAATTGAGCCATGCAGCTCTTATCTGCTCACATGCTATTGAGAAATGAGTTTAAATAATTCCAAGTATTTAGCCTGGTATTGATAAGTTCTGAGAAAATTTGGCCACTAAATTAGTCAGCAGTTGATGGGGGAACATTAATCCTTCAGCTGGCAGAGCTTGTTAACAAGCTGATGGATCTTTTTCAATAAAAGCCCGCTGAACGACTAGCACGGCTACAAAAAGTGTATTTTGTCGTGTCTACAAAATAAGGACAGGGCTTTTGGCCAGCAGGTTAATTGAAGCTAATTGACTCCTCCTTATATAGACAGTGAAGTGTTGCAAGCAGCGCTTTGTGTTTTGTTTCACTCGTGTGTGCCTTTTCACAGATCCAGAGGTTTTTTTTTTTTATCACTGAGGCACCACAACTGCCCACTGATGAGCTGCTCGAGCCGCAGCAGGCATCGCTGATATTTCTCTGTTTGCTTGTTTTTCTCCACAACAGTTTATTGAAATTAATGAGATTTTCATCACAGCTGTCTCGTAATAGCACTTGAACGATTGGGAGCAACAAAAGCTGGGATGGTGAGAAGCAGCTTGTCTTTGAGCTGACAGTTGGCTCTCTGTTCATTTTTCAGAAACTGACTTGGAAGACGAAGGATGTGGAGAAATGCACTGTGAGAGGGAAAAACAGCGTGAGTATAATCTTCCAGACACATACACATTCTCATCTCGTTCTGTTTTCGGTCTTGGGTTTCACTTCTTAGGTCTTCTGTTCTCTGTATTTGCCTCTGCCTTCATTTCCTGAACAAGAGAAGCTTTCTAATGAGCAAAAGTAGTGTGCAGGTAGCTTATCAGAAATGCAGCCATCAGGAGAGACATACTTGAGTTTTTTGGCATCACATTTTTCTCTCCAGAGCAACGGTGAAACCCCAAGAATCACCCCGAGGATTACGATAATGACTGTGAAAACGCAGAAAACTTGTTAACCTGCTACAACTCCTTCTTTGATTGTGTTTTTGCCGTGCCAGGACCCACAACGGACCGGCTTTATGATGTGCAATAATGTCCAGGTCTTTTTCTCCTGACAGGATGAATGTTACAACTACATCAAAGTTCTGGTACCACGCAATGACGAGACGTTATTCGCCTGCGGCACCAACGCTTTCAATCCCACCTGCCGTAACTATAAGGTAGGAAACCGTACTCCCGTGTGCCGCTGTCTGGCCTCAATTACAGATAAGAGATCATATTACAGCTGTTATGAGGTTCCCTATACTTGTATATTTTGTCAGCTGGATGCTGTTATTTGATTTGCTAATGGAAATGACAAAGTTTAAGCTAAACTCATGCCACATTAACACCTCACGGGCTTCGTGTGCAAGTCATCAGGATGACAGTTGAAACCTTAAATTCAAATTTTATTTGTCTCATACACAGTACGATATGCAGTGAAATGCTTAGACAACTGCTCGTGACCTAAAATAAAAGACTATGAATAGGACAGGAAATAAATAGGGTCAATTTAACTAGGAAAGAATAAAATAAGACATAAAAATTAAAGTTAAACATAAAATAACTGTACAACAAAATACACAATATAGAAAATATATAAGAATATATGAAGAAATATAGAACAGTAAGAGCAGCTGTACGAGTAATAAGGAGCCACATGCATCACAAGCACTACAACATATTGAAGTTAGATGGCAGAACTTGAGTGATTGTGTGGTGGTGCTTGAAATCCTCTATTGACATCTGTGATAAAATATCTCATAGGTTTGATATTTGTTTTTATGAAATAGAAAAACATGTCATGCACACTTATGGAGAACATGCCCTTAAGGTTGGGTAATAAATAAATAGCTGGCCAGAGTGTCTTGGAGAATAACACCTTACAGCAGCTGCACCAGAGATAATTACAATGTTTCATCATAATATAATAGAGCAGTTTGAACAATTGAACTCTACAGCATGCATACATTAATTTACTATTAAAACTGGTCAAATGATGAATTGCATAAAGTGGATTAAAATAAAGGTCAGGCATGCGTATGGAGCCCTGATTATTGTAAATAAGCTGATGCAGTACATCTGTAATAGTCAGCTAGAGCTCGAACAATAGATTTAAAAAAATGTTAGCAGCACTTGGGGAAAAAAGACATCTACTGTGATGTAACACCCACAAACACTGCCACAAAGAGAGGTCGTTCCAGGTTGAATGCAGCATTCGTCAGCTTTAAAAGAAGTCTGGCAGTCAGCACTTCAGCGATAATACAACAAACAGCTGTGAGCTTAAGCTACAGGCACGCCTAAAAAGATAACTGGAAAAACTGATTTAAGACATCAGCAGAGGCAGAGTGAACACGCAGGCTGAATGCAGACGAAATAAAGAACCAACTCTTAGATGTTGAAATAAACACACACAAATATGGAGCCCAAACATTTAAACATTAGCAGAGTATCTGTACTTAAATATTACTGCAATGTATTCCCATATTTGTGTTGTTACATAGACTTCAAACTTCGATGTTGATAGAACAACGTGTTGGTAAAACACGAAGAGCAGACTGTTGACTGAACACAAAGTATGCTGATGGTAGCTTGATTCATACCTCTTAGACAGCAAAGCTGAACGAGTGGGGAGTGGGAATATCAGGGACCATAATGGCACAAAGTTTGAGGCAATTCCATGCTAGTACATGAGGCTCTCAGATGCACCTAGCCTCCCTGGTTACCCCTCCACTTTAGAGATAAATAACAGTGTTTATAGCCAGCTGAAAGCACTATATTTTAGCAGGAGCACAGGTACAATTTTTGTGCGGACAATGTGAGTGTAAGTCTTCCGCAGTTTGAGGACTATTGGGAAAAACCTGACAGGAAGCAGTGCAGTGGAAGCTCTGAGGTGACATCACAGCTCTGGACTGGGATTCACAGCAGGCTATTAGAAGAGAAGGGAGTAGACGTCCTACAGCACCGACTGTAAATCTAAGGGTGTGGGGGAGTCTGCAAACCAAAGAGGAGTTGAATAACTCTAGACTTTAGTTTTTATAGTTTTCTTCTTCTCCCCAGTGCGCTAACCCACAAAGTAACTCCTGGGGTTTCCAACAGTCCACAACATTAGAAATGAATTAGAATTAAACATTTTCAAAATAAGGGATTATTTTGAAGAAGCATAATGGATCTGCTGTAGAGAGCAAAGTAAAAACGTTTTCTGATGGCTCCTTGTTTCCTGGTGGATGCATACTAAGAAGTGTAATTAACAATATTTAACCAAGTGCAGTGCATAAAGATAGCTGTTTAATTTCTTACTTTTGTAAAACAAAAAATAACCTGCCAGATGTTTAAAATGAGAGTCGTCCTCACTGCAGCATGATTATGTCTAGTTTTGGGAAATCGGAAGTCATTCTACTGAACGATGCTCAGTCTCGTCTCGGGGCTTATAGACGCAGGATCTCCACAGGCTGATGTTTGCTTCCAGGATCAAATCCTGTCTCAGTCATGTCCTGAAGGTCCTGTAGAGAAGTTGATATAAAATGTTTAGAGAACTGCGTAGCGACCTACATTCACACATTATCATCGTCTCCCTGCCACAGACTCAATTTTGGTAAAAAGAGCAGCTTTACATTTTTACTAAAACACATCCACACGCTCGTTCTCTCTGCAGCCTCCAACGCCCTTTTTTTTCTGACAAGAGATGACTATCCACACAGCTGGGGAGAGAGGGAGGAAGTGTAAATCATATCAAGGAATCTGTCTCTGGGAATCCACGAAAAATCTGTGGAAGACAGTAGGGGATTGGGTCAGAGGCGTGTGTGTGTTGTTCAAAGAAACGAATGGATGCCCAGCCATGCACTGGCAGCTTGACTGACCAGGCTGCTGAGACAGCTGGTGTGTAGACAACAGTGAGGCTGTCTTCAGCATGCGGTTACGATACAACTAAACCTTGAAGCATCAAATCCGTCTGTCTTCATGTGCCCACTGGGGTAACGACCCTACAGTCACTGCACAACTTTACTGAATCCTAATTTCTCTCTGATGTTCTCTCTGAAATATGTTTTTGGGGGATTAACAAACTGCTGTGAGGAGAAGTTGGCTGAAAACTGGTGATTTTTATTCAGATGTAAACAGAATTAATTCTCGCTTAAAGAGGACCAATCTTCAGATGATTACTGATTGGGAACTGAATGGGACTAACCATGTTTGTTTTGTTTTCTTTGTTCAAAGTCCTCCTGATTGTATTAATGTTTTCTTCTCATTAGTTACACCATTTAGTAACATCAGAATAATTTTCTTGATGAATTTTCGGGGTTCAAGGTTTCTTAGAGGTTGAAAGCTTCCATGGATGCGAGATTCCGAGTCTATTTTGGAGAATTAACTTACTTCGTAAGTAATGAACAAATACTGTGGAATGCACCCAGTTCCTTGCAAACATTCCCAGTGTTGAAAAAATGCCCCAAAATTGCTTCTTTTTTACCAGTCTTACATTAAAATTTTTAACCATGTTTGTTTATTTAAAGATTTTTTTTTTGAGAGGCATGTTTTTAATTTGCTTTTTCCTGTTTTTCTGCCTTCTCTGATTCGTTAAGCTGTAAAACACATTAACAGCACTTTATCTTTACTGCTGTTACCTTCACTTGTGCAACTCTTCACCTGTATTTTTGTGAAAAGCACTATTTACCAAATCTAATCAAAGTTCACCTTTTAATGCTGAACAAGAGGCACATTCAAAAAAACGAACTACAGCAGTGTAATTCTTTTTATTACTGCAACAGCAGCACAAAATAAAAATCTCAGTCAAAGCACTTGAAGCTACACCAAAGTGATATTTGGGGCAGAGCTGTTGTGCTGGATTACATCAGCTTCAGGAGTGTAGTGTAGCATAAACACATACTCTGTTAAGAATCTGAAGTGTTTTGTACAAATCCCTTGAGACATTTATGCACAATTTAGAAGGCAAAAGTCTATTGTAAGGTTTTGTCTTGCTTATTTTCTCCTCTACTGCATGATCTTATTGCCAAATGTACAGGGAGCAGGCAGCCATTACCCCACCAGAAATGTGAAGTAGTTTTTTATAGCTAAACTGGTGTGAACGAGCTCAGTCACAGGGTGCTGTTGCACCACAGTTAGCTGTGTGGCTGCGCTGGAGAATGGATTACAACCCATTTCCGGTCTTGCGTATTGCCACAAAAGCAAAGTCCGTAAAGAGTAGATACCAACCAATGTTCCCTTAACCTCAACTCATCGCGAGTGAATGAATAGTGGCATTGTAAAGCGCTTTGGGTGCCTTGAAAAGCGCTATATAAATCCAATCCCTTATCGCGGCCTGGAACAGCAGCCTAACTCTAACTTAACCCTAAGCTTACAAAACATATCCGTACCTGACAGTGTGAACGTGAAGTGGTCTTGTCATGTCTCTTGGAAAACAGCACCTGCTGGGGAAAGTGGTTTACCATTTAAGTGCAGGAGAAAAACACACTGGCTTGTATTTTTTAAAAACAATCTCTCGTGGGGAACACTTAGCTCGGGACGCATTGAAACTTGTTTTGGTGAAGCATTTGCACACAGGGAGGTGGGTGCTGTCATGAAATGGGTAATGCCTATCAATCGAGAAAAACATGAAAACTGTAAGAGACATTCACAGTCCAGGCTGCCTGAAAGAGCATTGTTTTTTTTTTAATATTCTGAATATTGTAACGTGCAAATATAGGTTTAGATAAAAGTTCTTCCCTTTTAAAAAAATGCAATATATATTCCCCTAAATGCAGAGCATATGTCTTGTATTGCTCTTGTTATAGTTGTGTAACTGTTAGGTTATCATGTCTACTCCACATTCATGATCTCTCTATTTAGTTTTGTAGAAAGGACCGAGTTTGACAATCATCTTGCAGAACAACAATAGAACAGCAATTACACAAAGCTATGTGTCGAACAAGCCTGAAAAATCCAGGCCAACGTGTTTATGGACTGTTAACGCGGTGTATGTGTGTCAGTCACCTTGTTGACACAGAGGGCGGTGAAGTCGCTCTGCTGGGTTTCTCTTGTTGTTGTGTTTGAGGCTCGCAACCTTGTTAACAGCAGGGGCTGGAAAAATAGCAGCTTTAATATCTGTGCCTGAGAGATAAACTGGCCTCTCTGCTTTCACACATCTTTTATGGAAATGACCTGTATACAATACACCAAATAAAACTAATCTTTATGATGCATGTGTTGCCTTTCATTATTACACAGTGATTTGATACACCTCCTTTGCGTCCAACTGCAATTCTCACTGCATTAAAGACTTTTGGTGTTTGAGGCTGATTGATTTTTTTTTTCTCTTTCTGTCAGGGCAGAAACAACCTCGTGGGTTTATAAGTGTAAACAGCGGTGTTGTTTTCTTGTTTACAACTGTCACTCTGTGTTTTATAGCCCATTCTTCTGTTGGGTTAGCTTTGAAGCTTTGTATACATCCTTGTAAAGCTGCTTCATTTCTGTCCTAGATGTCGACACTGGAGCAGGAAGGGGAGGAGGTGGTGGGACAGGCTCGATGTCCCTTCGAGTCCCGCCAGTCCAATGTCGGCCTTTTCGCAGGTAAGTAGTGACCCAGATGATGTTCAAACTTGAAATCTCACAGGTTCAGGTTTCTCACTGCTGATGATCTGTGCTGTGACATTTTTATTATATAGGTCAGGCTTGGAGTAATGTTTTTTTTCTTTTTTAATCAAACTAGCGTTTATTAAATGAACTTGAAGTCGGGTAAAACGATGTTCGTAGTGGACTATATTCAGAAGAAGTCACATATATTTTGCCTGTTTTGTTTTGTTTTTTATATTAACCTTGTGAAAATATGTTATAAATGTATTAGAAGGGGGTGGAACAATAGGAAAATGACGTTCATCTTTCAGAAACAGAAGAGGATGGTTTGCTAAAAGTAGGTAGCTGTTACATGTAAAGGACCATTTCTAATCAATAGGCTTAAACGTGTAACTGCACTTGGCGTTCTGTCTCTCTGACGTGGTAATTGGATACTAAGATAATAATATATAATCTGCTAAACTGCATGTTAACTTCAATTAGTGCCTCATTGCAAGTGTGTCTCAGTAAGAGTCTGAGCTAAAAGCCTGAAATGTCGATATAATTGAGTATCTTGGCATAAATCATCAGATGGTATAATCTGAAGTTTCCTCTTCACAGATCCCGGTTTGTGGTTAGATTTACTGCTTTATGAACATAGCAGTGAAGCAAGTTGATACATTGTGAACACATCAGGGTCAAGTTCAGGGAAGAGAGAGCCAAACGTACACTCAACCCTGCCAGGTTTCCACTGACATTTATGCAAAGTTCACACAGGCTGTTATTGAAGCTCGCATAGTCTCCTACAACTGCTCTCCTTAGCCTCCTTTTAAAGAGGAATAAAAGTCACCTGTGACCAAAATAGACACTTAAGAGAAGTGGGTTAGTGGGAATTGTGATCCTTGACTGTAGTTCTCAATAACTTTTTTCCCTTTTCTCAGGTGGTGATTTCTACTCTGCCACCATGACTGACTTCTTGGCAAGTGACGCAGTTATTTACAGAAGTTTGGGTGAAAGCAGCCCCGTGCTGCGTACAGTGAAGTATGACTCCAAATGGCTGCGAGGTGAGAAGCCAATGCGATAAGGTGTAATGTAATAGCATATCAAATGCAGCTGTGGCTCTGTAATGCGGTTGGTGGTAGGTTAAGGAAATGGAAGATTTTCTGATATGGCGTGGGATCTGAGACCTTGTTTCATTTCAGATGACATCCTAAATGTGTAAACTACTAAAATTCA